TGATTGATGGTCCGACGATTGATTCTACACCCGAAACACCAAATTTCAAGAAACACGGGTAAGCTTTTCCTAGTCCGCTGGCATTAGAGAGCAACAGCAACAGCGTTGACGTGCGAGAATTGATGTTGTGGGGGCTTCCTAGGCTGGAGTCGTGTTCTGCTCAGATCATCGGGTCGGATGGTAGGATCTGAAACACATATTTTAACGATGGAACCTAGCGCATGTTCTAGCATGGCAACCCACGAACGCGCGCATCTTCGCGTCTAACAGCCGAAGAACCGCTGAACACCGATCAAGCAGTTGGCCTACGTTCTGTTGCTGGAGGTCTTACTTTTTACTCGGGTTCGTGTCGGAAAGTCAGCTCTGCAGAACATTCAGGTGGCTCGGTCGTTTATCGGCCAGACCTTTAATAGCGGGATGGCAAGCACAAGGTCCCTTTTCCCGTGCGCAACGTTGTTTCCGCGGCTCGGGACGGGGTTCACAAATGAGCAGCGGGCTCTTGGAGTAGTTCTCACGCCTCCTAACATTGCTCAAACCCTATGTGCCTGACATGAAACCGAAGCACAACAGCTTGGCTAGTCTGTAATCAGTGAAGCTCAAGATTGCTACAGCATGTCGACAACAGGTGTACTCCGTATGACTCCATCTTGTTCTGCAACTGCTGCCCGGGGGCCATGGACTCATGGCAGCGCGCCACTACCGTGAAAGACACGCAATCCCACCACCCCATACGAATCTCGTCTTCGCGATGGCACAAATGAAGCATTCTCGCCCAATGCTTGCTGGCCGGATCAACATAGTCATCATATAATACTTTGAAAACACACGAATATCCCTTGTCTTCATGGACGATATCCGGTAAATCCTGTTGACGAATTCTTGGATCCGATACAATAAGCAATGACAAGTACATTTCCAAATGAATGGTACCACCAAAACCTCATTACCCAGTGTTCCCCAATACGGGTGTGCATGGAGCCCTAACCCGTCTACCATGGATATAGAAATACAAACCATGAAGGTCTCACTACATTGACGTACAACGTTGTAAGGTATCACAAGATCGCCGGAATGGTGGAACTCACAGAGCACAGGTTCGTACTTCGGGATAGCCTAAGCCGCCTCGCATCTGGACGATCTTGTCCGCACCCCCAGCGCCACTCCGCAAGCCACTACAGCGCCAGTCCAGATAGGCGAGACCACAGCGTCGTCTTCCGCTCAGCTTGCTTCGGAACTAGAAGAGAAAAGAACGATGAGAATGATTAGCAATGGCAACAAAAGTGGAATGTTCCATAAACGTCCGTATCGCCTTGTCAAAGCTCATTTGTCAATCGGCTTTCGCCACAACGAACTCGGGGTGACATTATTCATCAGCCGGTAATACTCCATGGCGAGCAGTCAGGGAGATTGTGTGCCATTCAACTAACACGACTAAATGTCCTGTAACAGTTCCGGAGCACTTAAACCAACTGCTGCGTGAGGTTCGTATTCAATAAAGACCGCGGCATGGATGGCCATAATGGCGCTACAACTATACGGCAAGTGTTGTCACATGCGTGCAATAATGACACTCGCGAGATGCCGAAGTTATCACTTCGCCCAATTCCAGGGATAAGCTGGCAGTACAGCTAACAATGGGGGAGATGGGAAAGCCCTTGGAGAGTCCAAAGTCCTGTGCCTTAAAGAGACCCAAACACAGGAACATCAATCAGTGGCTTCTCTGGCTGTGCTTCTAGGCGTTTTCTCCCCGCACGCTAGTTGATGATGACGGCGGCCTGTCAAAATATGACAGAGTGACCCCGTACACCCAATTCTGGAGTCAATTCGTCAGCGGGGAAAACGTTTGCATTACATCTTCGCCATGCAGCCCAGCCGCCAGTTCGGGCATACCAGACCAGAGAAAACTACTTCGACCTCGAACTGAGCTCAGATAGCCATGACATGAACATGTTCAACCATGAGGCTCTACCCGATGCGAATGATCGTGTCCTTTGCTGTTTGAATCGGCGCCCCTAACATGAGATGGACCACAAATAACTTTGTCTATAGAATCATGTCAGCGCCTTTCTAGCTGGGTAGCAGCAATCGCAGTACGACG